TGAAATAAGGGATTCAGTCATCTCAAGGAATTCTGCCAAGACTATTACTATTTTTGGTGGGGCAAGCAGGCAAAATCACGTCATCAGTATTTCCCACTCACGTGAATACCACTCCGCGCTACCTTTGGATATAATCAGAACTCTTCTGTCATTGGTTCTTTCTTCCACAATTATCCCAGAACCTGATTATCCTTATCCTGGAATTCTTGTTGAATTTTTCATATCTTGCTCGATCCTTATCAAAACCAGTAATTATCGGATAGGCACTGTAAACTCTCATGTCTTTAAGAATCATATTTGGCGATTGTCAGTCGTTCCTAAATTGCCTACACTTCTTAGAAGAATTTCTCTGTGCTGCTCATACGAAAGCTAGCATTGGGCTATCCGATCATGAAGTATCTGCTTCGTTTCCTTTTCCGATTCTCTTTTCATTTTTTTTCCTATCTTTTTGTTCCTTAAGTGAGCTGTCTAGCTAAAAGACCTTCAATTATAACGAAAGATATCAGGTATAGCCCAAATCACAACTGCACTCGTTTTGGATGGCAGTATTTTTTCGAAAGGGTAAGAACCTTGAGGTAACACATGACAGAAAATTAGGGTAAATATTCTTTGAGATATGTGCCACGTTGGATCCGCACCCATTTCATAGTCCCTCTTGCTATGGGAGAGATGTATAATGTAAGTTATGGTCTGCAAGATTAGATATTACCAAGATTTTTGCCGCAGAACTTTCTGATCCAATCCTGATAGGCTTAGTTCCCTTCGGCATCTATGCCTTGGTTCTTATTTTAGAAATGTGTGTCCTACGCTGAATTTGTAGACATCTTCAGAGCGGCCGTAATAGTTTCCTAATCTGTCGAAGGAGCAAAGTATCATCGATTTGTATATTGGCTTTCCTTTTTCTCTTTTTGCTTTCCTTTTCCACTTCGACCTTGACTCCGTTTCGGAAGACATCCTTTTTCCATTCTCCCTCTCGCCCCTCCCTCTCTCTGAATGATGTTCGCTAGTTCAAAGTCGTGCAACTCATCAAAGTCATTGAGAGACTCGAATCCGACTGATGACCGGTCCTATTAAAGTTGCTTCCTACTTAGGTATTAGTGTGAGAACTATAATTAAACTCTCCAAACATCGTCACAATGAACTACAGAACAGAAATCATGAAGATTACGTGACTATAACTTTCTGTTACGTTTTGTTCGTAAAACGTGCTCTGGAATTCATGGTGAGGAAGGAGAAATCAGCCGAAAGTAATAGCATGTTGAAAACGCCACCGTTCAAGCTCGCGCTTCAAACGGACCGTCTTCGCTGTGGTTTTGGCACCAAACATCCCGTAAAAAATATTGTATCTATTGAGCACACACACTGAAATACCTAGCCTCAAAATCGACTGTACAGCTCGAGTGTACAGTGTGGAAATAGTTTACTGATTCACGAAGGTGTTTTACTTTACCATCTCGCCCATCCCGGTGCTCCCCCACTTCTTAAAGTTAGGTAAAACCTAATTCTTTATCAGCTTCCCTCTGCGCTCTAGCTGTCAGTGATCCAAGAGCCCCCCCCCCACACAATACTTTTT